GGTCGAACATACCCCAATGTGTTTATGTAAAGGTTGATTAACGTCATACGAGCCTTAAATCAACATTTCCGAACAAATGAAGATCAGGTGCAAATGACAATTGTGTTTCTGAAACGTGCACATAAATTTCATCCCACCACAGTGAATCCATCGTGTTCGAGGCAGCTTCAGGCGCCATCCCACGTGGAGTAGGCAATCTCCACAATTCTCGGGGACATACCGCTTTGATTAGTAAACTGAAGATTTTAGATGGAAAGTTTTTTACTCGACCAAAATCTTGGGGAGTTTGGCCGCTTTTTAGGAAATTCACGAGTCAGTACAGCAAAAAACAGTTGATGGATATTCCGTACATAGAACCGGTTTAAGATGAAAAAATCCATGAAAACGCCACAGGTGAAAACGCTGCGTAGGGGAATAAATTGTTATAATCCAACGTTTCGGTTACCGTGAACAAACTTTTTCAAGGATTTTTACCAGTCAGGTGTATAGTCATTTGAGCACGCTTCGTTTCTTCTGATGGGTGTCTTCCTGGCAGTCGGATTCAACCAACGTGTGTGGTGTAGTGGCTCCGTGTGTAAACGCTTGACCGTATGTCTTTTTTTACCAGAAATGTATAGTAACAATGGCATAGGTGAACAATGCAATGTATTTAGTCGTAAGACATTCATTGGTGTAAATTTCATCCAGCAAGTCAATCAGATCTATCCGGTAGGTTGATAAGTAGTTAAGAGGAAGGACTAAACTCACTCGGTGAGTAAAGCCATATTAGGATCGTTTCCAGGGTAGCCAGTCAACACACGTGACCATCCCGTGAGTGAAGGATGAGCGGTGGAATATCCTGTATAGGTTTGAGCGAAATCATTCTGCTGATGACCCGCTCGTGGACGAACTGATAAGAGTTCAAACTATTATCCAGGAGGTCACCGGTTCGCGACTCTGAAGTTTCGTGAGGTGCACGCTGTTGATGACTCCCAATAAGGATGAAACAGATGTACAGTGCTTCTCGGCTTTTCAGTATAGATTGTCTCCACTTACATCACCTTCATCCTTGCTGCGAATCATTAACCATGCCTACTTCACGAGCCTCTGGAAACATCCGTTCAGCAACCATCCGTGTAAGATTTTGGGCGCCCTACAATTTAGCTACGAATAGCTGACCACCAGTGTAAGTGACTTGCACTTAGGATACATTGCCATTCTAATCAAGCCGGAATGGATGTACGCTTTCTTGCGGCTTGTTAGCACAGACTGGATTCCCTTGCAGAAAGGACTCTACACAAAGACTCCAAAGTCTCACACTAATAGCATTTCCCGATCTCTTTTAATAACATCAGAACTTGTGGTATTTCTGGAGGATGATTTTTCATGGGAAAACTAAATAGCACATATATGGGAAGATATCCGAAAGTCAAGCACTCATAGAGTTTCCCCACAAAGTATAGATTCAGTCAATATTGCGTATAAGGCAGAGGACCGAGCACTATTACGAGTTACATTCACAGTTGAGGTCGGATGAAATTTTGGAGTGCGTGGCAACATCCTGTCGCTTATTCGTAGGGTTTCAACCTATCCAGACACATGTTCCCCGAGTTATGACCTCCTGACAACTTTCTGTTCATTTCGCTAGGGATACTCAACGATACCTGTAATTTGTATTTTGCTCCAAGACCACCGGTTGTCTGAATGTTTTAGTTGGGTGCCATTCCACAGCTTCTCTTTACCTGATAAAGTTTGCCAGTTACTTTCTGACGGGACAAACTGTCTTATGGTCACCAGGGTGATAGCCCGCGACCGGTTTTTCAATACATGATGTTTTCATCAGATGGACGCATTTCATTAGTTTCCGTCTGGATGAACAGGAATTGTACGCAGTTGTGGAACTGCATTCATTTTTATACGAGTATGAGATTCACGTATAACCCCAGTATTTCGCTTCACTCGGCGAAACGTACTCACCTTGGCCGGCGCTCATGGCTCATTTAGACGCTCATAGGGGTTTCGCTAAACGAGAGATGATCTTGTGTTTGATTATGATCGACTGAAGCTGAGTACAAATGCTGTTTATACTCACTTGGGTCGGTAATCTCTGTATCGAAGTGTTTTTACGACGCAGCACGTTGATGAGTAATGGTCAGCTGTCATTTACTGCCAAAGATAATATTAAAATTGTTCACCGAATGGTAAAAAGTCGTTTCGCAAGGACATCCCAAGGGGTATTGTCGGAACGGTTGCTCAAAGTGCAAGAGCGATTTCAAATGCTATTTCCGGATTACTGACGTGGTCGTCCCATTGAAAAAGCCTAATGCTCCGGGGGTTCTTTATTTCGGGCCCATTGCATCTTCTGCCGCTCGGGCGACAGGGTCGTTATTTCAAAGAAGCCCGTTCGGAAATCATTTATTTATGTGTAGTGCTATGGTTTGATGTATCCAGCGGTTTGCATGGTCCCCTCCATACGTTAGGCGAATTATTCTTGCAATTTTTTGCGTGTGCCAATTCGTTTTTTGTGTATGAATGGCCATTTTTCAGTATTACGGCTTTTAAATGCCCTCCAACTATAGCCTCCATTTAAGTGCAATGCACCATGATATTCGCTTTATACTGATATAAAAAGTACGTTCATAGGCTATCGACGATTTGAGCTTACCTGTTCTCCCCGTATTTATATTCGGTGGCCCCAAAATCCCGTACACCAAGTTGCATAGTGTAGTATTGTTATCTGTTACCATCTGTAATCACTGCTACCTTACGCCTCAATATGAAATCTTTGACTGTGGAATTAAGAGGACCGTCCGCAGACAACCGGATGGTATAAACTCTGCCAATGTTACTCGATCGGAAACCAAAACCCGATTTAGACGCAAAATATAAATAATTGTTGCTATTTATCCGCCGGAGCAAATGAGTTTATTGCGTGACTCAAGTGAAGTTGAATTCTCCAGTTTCTCGTGGCAGTTTAGTTTTCCTTGGCACACCGTTTATGTAGAGTTCATCACGGAGTCTGAAATACACTGTCCATCGTTAAACCAGATAGAACGGTTAATGTCTTGATTTCGTTAGCTTCCTCAAATGGATTGCATGCAAGGATTTTGTGGAAGCAATGTGGTAAGGAGTACGTTTTCTCCTCACAGTCAACTGGTTACCAAGTGAAGGATTTGTTAGAAAGTCTCCTGGCCCTATCTGGAAAAAGGTTGCACATTTATTGACGTAAACGATTTCATAAAGTACGCACAATGTAAACCAAAGTCTCAAGAGAGCCCTAATTTATATGATGTCGGAGGGTCACGAGAATAACTCTCTTAAACTCATTTGAATGAATGTAAAATTAGAGGCTTTGTGCAACTCACATATCGCCCACAAATTTCTTCTAAACTTGGCAAATACGCTTGTGCAACTTGAGCTTCCTGTTGCAAATGAGTGGATTGCTCCCGTCGCGTGCAGATCGGTATCTAGGTAGTACATAAGTTTGACAGAAATACGAGGACCGCACTTCAGTAAGTCCGAATAATGACTATTCCGGTCGTGAACAATCGTAAAGCTTTCATCAATCTTTTAATCCTGAATTTTCTCAGTGGAGTGGATCCTAGCCTTTGTACGGTTACCTGGGTTGGGTTTAGTCATTGCGTTTTAGTCATCAGTTCCATTTTTCCACTGACTTGCTTTAGTCTTGTTTGTTCTGGTCGGAGGTTAAAAATCCCGACTTTAAAGGAAAGCACCCAATTTATATACAAGTTTTCTTCTGGTGAGAATTAAAAATTGGAACGAACAATATGAAAATCGTATTCTTGTCATCTAGGAGGGCTATCAGTCCTGGGCGATATAGAGGAATCCATAGTTATTAACGTAAACTGTGAACGACTAGCTGGATGTTGAATTTTTTGTGATGGTCACGGTAAAGGTTGGAATTTGAAATGGGACAGAACAAAAAATGCAGCTGGTGTTCTCTTTCAAAATGATGCCTAAATTCATTCAACAGACATAAACTTTCTTCCACGGGGTATTTTGAGTCGTCAAAAATGAAACCCCAAACCCTCCACTGCCAGCTGTCTTTTTCGTGTATAAGTTTACCAAATGAAGAAAGTGGGAGTTGAGCTACGCCGGATTCAGTGATAAACAAAGATGGTTTCAGATGCTTAGGAAATTATGCCCGTATCTTTTTACTAGATTCTGGTCAAACTGATCTTAATCCATTTATCCGGGGCATATCTCAAAGATTGCCATTGTAACTAACAGAGTTGTTACTGACTTGAAGAAGTGGCTAAAATCACTTCTCTACCGATCTTTTTGGAAAATCTTCGGTGTGAAACCAGTCTCCTCGTCAACGCCTTCTAATCCTCACTTAACGGGATTCCCGCTGGTCGCAAAAGCATCTCGTTTTACAACAAGATCACCTCTGTGTCCCTTGTTTTCAAAAGCCTAATTGGATGGTGGAATATCGTGTATACTCTTTTATAGAATGTTGAGAGCCCCAACGTACTAAATGCCTGGATTGCCAATTTTTGTGCAAGCATTCATTGTTCAGCAGAACTCTTCATTGATGGACCTTCAGTGTTTCTTCGCGAACAAATTGTAATAGCTGACACACAACTGTCGATGTGGCCTCAATCCTATCGTATATTCGTTTGTTCAACAAGTGTTTCCAAAACTGTCCGGTTTGGTGCGATTTTACTCTGTAAATTATATTATTATGGGATAGGGACACATTTAGCGAACACTGATGATAAATCCAATATTAAGAATCACGAAGTTTTATTGCTAATTGTGTGGCTCACTCAGTTCCAATAGGTCCTTTACAATTTCGACTCGGGATTTTTAAACCAGGAACAAACAACGAATGGCCAAAAGATGCACTCACGACAAAGTAGTTGTTTTTAGTATCCGAGTAAAAGTTGTTTGGGTGTTTGAATACCTGCGTCTCAAATAGCCCTACGCCCATTTCTGGGAACATTTTCCCGAACTGTCCACACAACCATCCACTGAGTGATCCCTCCGTTGTTTTCCAGCTTCCTTGCATGGGCAAATGATTTGGAGAAATCTCTGTCGGAACTCCAGGCCATAACGGGAGAGAATGTTCTACACAGCGTGAGTTTCGCTTGTTTTGAGTAGGAAACAGCTAGCTAAATTCAAAACACAACCCAGGATTATCAACAATTAACTGGAATCATAACCAAACAGACGTGTATTCTTGAATTTTTTGTATGTTGGCCGACGGAACTCTGGACTAACTCATAAACGACGATTAGCTCAATCGAAGAAGTGACTCGAATAGGGCAGATTAAAATGCTCATTCGCAGTATCCGAAGAACAAAACATCCATGTTCAACTGGCGCATGAGAATGACACTATGACGAAGTGGTGAATTTATGCTACTTAATTGTCGGTGGCTATAAGTTCCCATCAACCTTCAGTTAGGGATTACACTAATCCTGTGTCTGAATGTGACCTTCAAAACTATGTCTGAAGGAATCTTGTTAAATAAAGTGGCTTGAGAAATATTAGATCTGTTTCACACTCATCTTGCAGGCCTTTGTATGCACACGCGTCAAAGCATGCTCTGCGTACCGCCGAGCATATGGCGATTGGTTTGTAGTGCTTCTCTAAGACAGCGCCTTAGACACCAGGACGGTTTGTTCGTACCATTTGTTAACCTGTATAAAACATGTAACCGGATATAATAAGGTACATTTGGAAAAGTATGGGATAACGCGGATCCCCACGATCTGAATATCTCTTGAAACTTGAAACATATGTGGAGCTAAAGCAGTCCTTCGAATAAGCAAACAAAGTGAAACTCTCCCCATCTCACGTTGAGCGTCTTTTAGATCACATTGGCTTTTTTTATCCTGGCGAGGATGACTGTCACAATTTGGATCCATTTCACGCTTATTGGGCTCCAAATTTGTCCGCTACGTTAAAATTGAAAAAAAGTGAAAAAAATCAAACATGTGAATAACGTTCATTATGGTTTGACTCGCTTCTGACCTTAGTCTAGTCCAGTCCCACTTAACTACGCTTAAGTTAGGGCATCCAAAAACGCGGATACAAATGCATTGCCAGTAAACTGAAAATTCGTAAATAACGCAAAGAGAGCAGCTCCATATTGGAGGCGAGCATCTTCGAAGTACCTGAGATGTTGTCTTCCGTACACAAAGAAATCAGTCGATGATCCAAATAGCTCACGCGTGATTGAGTGCGCAAACTTTCTCATTCGCCCCACTGCACAATATCCATGTTAGGACATTGGCGACATTGTGTTGCTTTGAACACTTTCAAACCTTTGTAGAGTGCACGAATCAATGGTGACATTTTGGAAAATAACTGCAATTGTGAACAATCAGGCCGTTTTAGTATGTATGCATTGGTTTATCTAATACAAGGTTAAACTGTTAACTGTACACTGCGTGTATGAAATTTCCTCACTGTTTTCAACCGATGCTGGTGACGAACACAGGCACACGCATTAGGCACACGGTGATGTTCAGAGCCTACAGTATTACACCAATCACTTCTTATTTTGTAGTTCCTTGGGAAGAAGCAATGGGTCAGGTTCTTCAATCGACTTCGTGACCCGTACAAATGCACTCGCTCATTTAGAAATTCGGCATTACCCTCTCGCCTAGTGGCAGCGTCTCGTGAAAAGGGGAGATCTGTTGCGGAATTTGTGGAGTCGCTTTGTCGCATCTGCTTGGATTTGAGCGATGAATGATTGGAGTCAGTGAATATTCAGGAAGGTTCAAGAAGACGCGTTCAGGAGACGATGGATGTCCAGTTTTTGTAAATAAGATGCGAATGAGAGTTTTGCTTCCCTGTCCAATGGTCTGTAACCAGTCAGTTGGCATTCCCTAATAGATGACTCCGCAGCAAAGGCCTTCTTTTACTAGAAGTTATTAATGACATTGCCTTCCGCAAGCCGGAATTCGAGAAACTTGGTTGCAGAATCCAACTTCACAAATATTTTGGCAAATCTGCTTGTCTCCACCTAAATATTCTGAATTTTTTGTGCGTTAGGCCTTTGTTTCGTAAACAATTTTCCACCCCACTCATAGACGATCCAGAAGCAGTTCTACACTTTCTTGGACGCTTGTGAAATGCTGCACATCTAGTCTCGTCAGAGATTTCACTGACTTTTCAGTTCACATGCTCATCAAGTTTGGGCAATTCATTCAGAATACCCGGACGAAATTTGTCCATCAAGCTCAAACGTTCAACAGGAGGTACTCTCAGATGGGGGTGGCGGTGGATAACCTTGGGAAGCCTCGAAGATGCTGAATTTCTTTGCTGATGTTAGCCGAAATTCTCTTCTGGACTTGCATACGTGTAGTTAGTTACACTACTTGAATGCTCACGAATGTTTACAGTCTATTTGTACGCTCAGAATCAAATATGTGCGCTCAACAGGACTTGATTATCGGCCTTAAACAAACCACAAATAATACTGAGCTCATTTTTTCAAAAACCTTGTTTTTGTAGATAAGATATGCTATGCATCTTGTTATTCAATCCAGGTCTACCGGAGTTCGAGTTTTGGCAAACGCGAAATGACTGAAGAGGCAGCGTTTGAGCTACTTGATAGAGCTGCAGAAAAAATCAATAACATCGTAAAACAGAAGGCTGAACTGGTTCATGTGAGTTTAACTCTAGCATTTTGTACTTCCTAAGGGTTACTTCTGGTTTGGATATAACGCTTCCCTTCTATGTTTGTTAAATACCAAGTTTATTCCGCCAGCATTTTGTTATCTATTGCAAGTAACTGTAAATATCCGAGGATGTCAAACAACTATTTCCGTGCGTCCAACAGACCTTCATGTGTTGTCTATGGCAGACGGCCTTCAGTAAGCATGTATCTTGGTTTTGATTTCAGAAAATCAAACTGGCCGCCGAAGAAGCCTATCGTACGCGAACGCACAGGGAACCGACTGGGGTAAGTTATTTCAAGCAGGTCTGTGTCGTTATAACGGGGAGGAAATATCGTTATCTGACCAAATGGTACCTAAGTATTTGTGCCTATCTGCTACACAATTGTGTCACACAATTGTCACACAATTGACACAATTGTGAGAACCTTTTGGTCACTGAGAGAACGAAATAAATGTATCGAACAGTAGTCAAGTACTAAGAATAGTGCATGTGAATTACTATGTAATCTCCAGTCTTTCACTGTTAACTGGACTGGGGTAAATGTTTGCAGGATAATGTATAAGGAAGCAAGTTTCACAGTGATGAGTCTCTCATTGATTACCCAAAGAAGAACTCCGTGTGTTTCTTTCTGAACAGCACAGTAGTGGATAAAGTGGATATGCTGGAAGTTTGAGTCCACGGAGTGTCAATCTGCACTCAGTGGCTTGCCGTTACATATGATTCGATCTGAGCTTATCACCACACACTAGCTGGATGAGCTTTCATATATTCTGGTCGGTTGGCTATTGAAAAAATTTCCCCCTGAATTAAGTTCACAGACGAAGCATCTCCATATCAACTGCATCCACACAAGTAGACTTGGTCACTGCACTTGATTATGACCGGCGTTGTCAGTTTCTATCCAGATTGCCTGAGTGAACGTCTGGAGGTGTAGGCACCTCGGAATGATTGTGTTAAGCTAGAACTAAGTCCTCCCCCGTCCACCTTTGTTCGTTTCTTTACAATAAGGCTTTCAAATAAGTCATGGCTGTACGGCAGTGAAGCATCGGTTTTGAACACTGATGTCATGCTGTCGATGATGATGACGATGATTATGACCGGTTTTCAGTTTCCTAAAGGATGCGAAACGCGAATGGCGCTCCATTGTTCACGTGTAGTGCTATGTACGGTTGGCGTGTGAAAAACGGTTTTCTAATTGACTTCACCTTAGGTTTAAAGCATATAAAGGAATAAACAGTAGAGTTAACAAGCCAGAGTTGGGACAGAATAAACAGAATATGTTGAGTTAGATTACCGTCTTAAAACCTGTGCAAGTCGTGAAGTGGTAAAATATTTGTTTGACACTCAAGGTGAATTCAGGTGTCGAGACATCATAATTCTCGTCAGTGATCTCGTGTTACTAACTGCGCCAACTTCTTACGAAGATGATGAGGAAGTTGGTTCCTCGCGGCGAGCTCACCGAAGGAGAATAAAACTCACCACGCAATGAGGCTGGGTGAGATGATATTAACAAGCTTAACTGAGGACAAAAATGTATCGTGACTGTCATGATAGAATCAGTCCTAGGCTATGCTGAGAGCACAATTGTGTTGCACGTCATGGAAGTGACCGGGGGTAGACGGCTGGTTAACTTACCGCTAGCGTTGAGTGCCTGCTACCTGAGAGCTAATGACATACAGCGTCTCTGGTATGGATGCCGCTAATTCTTCTTGTACGTGCGGCTCCCAAGAGGGAAGAACTCCTGACCTATGTGACACCAGCACTCACAGAACCAGTCAGGAGATATCTATCCATCAGCAACGCAAAATAACCGATTTAACATGACGTCCTTACTATTTCACTGATTAGGACACCTTAACACAAGTGTAAAGAGCTGATAGACCGTTTTTTGTTAAAATTGCAAAGCAGTGACGATTACTTGACCTAACTAATTTCACCAGTAAAGGGCAAGTTGTGTTTGAAATTCGGCCGTCATTAAGATAGAACGATTATAGGCGTGTGGCCGTTAAGCGAGTAACGCGTGAAAACATCTAACAAACAGTCCTTCTGGTCGAGATCGGCTGTCAGTCATCGGCTGTCGTACCATGAAAAAAATGCATTTTAAGTCAACTTTTTCCAACAATTAGTCAAGGAATTATTCAACAAGACGTTCGAGAGACTCAGTCATCACAATCTCGACTATTCAACAAGACGTTCGAGAGACTCAGTCATCATCATCATCGACAGCATGACATCAGTGCTCAACACTGATGCTTCACCGCCGTACTCAGAGAGTCAGAATCCGTACCGAACAATCCGGTAACCTAATAGTCACAGCGCTGCAAACTCCGCACAGGAACGTTATTAGATACTGTCTGGGAACTACGTAAATGCAAAAGGAAAATGATAACCAGCCACCCGACTGCCACTGATGATGCCCCCTTAATCAATGGCATATTTTGCAACGAAATGACCTCTGATGACGAAGGCTCTCGACCATTTTACTTCTCACGGGACGAGACGACCATTCTCAAGCCAATGATATGTGCGCTTTTGATGTAGTTCACTTAAATTGCACCTATTTGTTATGAGACTGTGAACACACTTTATTCACACTAAGTCACTGTATCTTACAGTTTTAATGGAGGAACATCCCCGCGGTCGCGCTGTGACTGGAAGAGGAAGTCACGATGCGAAACTGCAAGATTTATTAAAGAATGTATTTCGTTAGTTGCTCAAAGTTTGTGTTGATGAAAACTTAGCCACCAGGTTAGCACTGATGGTGAAACCGGCGTTTAGCTGAATTTTACTTTTCAGCAACCACATACGCAGTGTCTAATGCCATGAAAATGTACACTGATATCTCGAATACAGAGGCAGCTAAAACTTGAGACGACGCTTATACAGCACAAACAATTGAGGAACATCGTAAACAGCAGTTAAGTTTGGATTGGGGAAATCCTCAATTTCAGGCCAAACTAATTCGAAAGAGAGGAAATCATTTGCTTGTCGCAGTGCGGCTACCAGCGTTGAGCATACCTGATTTCATGTAGATTCAAGATACCAGTAATTTTCAGTAACCTGAGTCGGCCACGATTGGTGTAAAGTTTGGGCCGTACGGATTATGAGAAATCGGTCAAAAAACGAGAATAAGTTTTTGACCAAAATTATTCGTCATATAACCGAACTAACCGATGGCAACGTTTTCACGATAATCACTGGAGTGTTTTCTCTGTCACTGGTTTGTCTACCACGTTAGTTTTGAATTGAGTAGCGAAGCACGTTGCAGAGTATGCAGTCATTCCTATAGTGATTACGTTGGTAGACAATTCACTTAATTCTACGAAATCCTTGGGTGAAAAAGAAATGACAAAGAATGTATCGGTTCCATAAACGCTGCGATGTGCTATGTTTTCATGGTCCCAAAATTTGCAATCAGACCAAGTGATTAATTGCAGAAAATGAGCAAAAGTTCATGAACAAGGCTACTAACTGATGCTTGCAACGGTATTCTGCATCGAAGTTGATATGGATGACATGGATTAGCTTAGGCAACCTGTAGAACCTAATTATCACGTTTGGAAACTAAAACACGATGTTGTAGGCCAAGCTGCAGTTACTGGCTGCCTGAGTCAACTTCTGTAAAAACTGATTAACTAAGTAACATAATAATCCAGTAATCAGAAAGTTATACAAGAATACATAGTAGGGGTTTTAATTATTGAATCAAAAACGTGGGTTATTCATGATTGGCCTCAGCTACAAGTTCTGGTGTGACTGAGAGGTTGCTTGTGTGTCATTGTGAATGCGGATGTGTGTGTGACTACTGTCTGACCAAAAACCAGGCAGCTCACTCCCGCCACCTGGGTTCCGTAACATGAGGATATGCATCTCTGTATGCCCCTGTTTGTATTGTTGTGTTAGGTGCACTTGACAGTGAGCATTGACAACGTCGATGGGTGAGTTGCCTTCCAGGGCCGTGTGTGGATGTTTCTGCTCAGGTCCTAATGAAAAGTTGCTTATGTGAGTGACCAGAAAGGTTCATTTGGACGCAGGATCAGGCTTCACTACCGAGATGTGCACAGGTGGGATCCAGTGCACATGTCATCCGGATATGTCCTGAATTCAGAATGGACAAAAGCAAACACCATCTGACACTTCTTTTCGAATACAGGTACAGAGCAGCCACGTGCACATAACCGTGAACCTAGACCAACTCGTTCAACTCAGGCTTAGATTAGAAGGCTACCCCTTTACCAAGCATTATAAGCGATGACTGGGCTACGCTGCTGTTTTATTGGCGCATGATCACCTGCTAAAGAAATACTTGACAAACATTATCCCTGATGGCTTGAACGTTCGGACCACAATGTAGTGCCACAACGTTGTATCCACCCCAGCACTTAGAACCAGTGGTGCGCATCTTTGATGCGTATTGGTGCGTATTCAAAGCTTGACAAAGCTGCTACACCGTTAGAACAGAATCCTCCTTGGATCGAAATGGTCATTTTTCTAGACGCCGCTTCTTGAGTCGAGCGACTGAGAGGTGACCCGACGCGGTTTACTCGTAAGTTGTACATACTGGGACAGCACAGTACAATCGCGCCAAAAAATGATGAATACGCTGCATGGTATATGGAAATCACATAGCAGCTATCATACTATTACAGTGGAATTAGCCAGGCTAATTTAGGTTACAAACTCAACCAGTGCAGCTTGAAAAGTTGTCTGTAAGCTTTTAGGATGAGGTAAGAAAACTCTTATAATCCCATCAAGAAAGTTAAGTTCTCCTTCTCCCATCTTGTTTCCATACGCAATTGTAATTGTTAACCTCATGAATGCCTTTCGTTCTGCACGTCCGAAGTCATCATCCTCTTTACGTTCATTCTTTTTAGTGCTACCTGCGGGCCAAGGCGATTGCACTTACACCGAGCATTTTATCACCGAATTCCACACAAAACTGCAGCGACAAAATATTTCTCGATATGGAGCGCAATGCCTTGTTTGAAAACACCTACGTCTCCCTTAATTATTCTGTGGCTCACGTGCCTACAAATGTCTATGATCTTTGTGAGTCGCGACAGTTTTCCAAAGTATTTCTAAAATATAAAGAAAACGAAACGCAAGTAATGTTACAAGTTTTTTGTAGCCTTCTCGCTTAGCCATATTGATAGCATCCGAATATTTAGCACCTATCAATGACGGAAGGTTCGATTTGGTACTCACTAAATTCCACGACGGCTGTAAAATCTACATTATCAATAACATCTCCCGGTTACTTCAAAAAGCTGACTGCTGCTGAGGTGCACACGGTACGCCAACCGAATAAACCAGAAGTGCTCCAAATGGTTGGTTTTTTTGTCTTATCCTAGTGCTGTCTTGTGGGGTGCGCCTATGAAAAGCAAATTAGATAGTGGCTTGAAAATACTTTTTCTTAGAGAAAAGCCAAGTTTTTCACTGCTGTTCAAACCAAAATGAGAACTGCAGAGTAAGTAGTCTTTGAAGTAAGCAAATCTAATCTGCCAAATGAAATGAAAGTAACATAGGAAAAAAGGGGCATCAATTTGAAAAATAACACGACTTTCGTTGTTGACTAACTTTGGCACAGTCAATAAAGGGGAAGTGTACAAAAGTTACCGCCCGTCATCTGCACTCATCTAAATTTCAGTGACACAAAATAATTCATAAGACACGTCTAATGCCTGCCAAAGAAAACATCCAAAGCAACCTTCGTGGACGTCAAAATAAAGGTTTTCCATTTCGCCGGAGGGAGCGCTCATCCAGGATTTACCATAACCCAACCAGGTGTCTCCGTCTGTTATACTTAAGAGTCCGTTTCTTATTATTAGAAATTGCAATTTCTACTTTATTTTTTAGTATCGCACTTGCACTTGTTGTGCCTAGGAAAAAATTCACGGGTTAACTTTCCTTAGACTGCAACATTCCGTCTGGTCTTATGATAGAGACCACAGTTAGCACCTTCTAGGCATTTCTTTGCACCGTGTAGAAATTTTTCACCCATTTTATCATAGGTGGTTGCCCGCTCTCAAACGATCAAGAAATTACCTTTCTAGATTTACTTGGCGGTTTTGATATAATCATTTACTCGTTAATTTCCAGCTTCCAAGTGACAGCATTTTGCATACCAGGTAGCAAACATTTTGTGCTGCAGTACTCACCTCTTACTCATTTTTCGGGGTTAAATTCCGCATATGGATTTACTACTTTCTCCTTTATTGTTGGCTATATGAATTACTCTGACATGCTTTGAGTATGTACTGAACCCCACGTTACAGAATATATTCCACTGTACCAGGTGGAACAAGCCAGCCTCGTACAATATGCTGCACGTTGTAGAGAGTGTAATCAACTACACCACGGCCACATTTTCCTGCGAAATAAGACAAACATTTTTAATTGTCACTGTCAGCACCATGCCATGAGGGATGTCCGTTTACCTGAACCCACCAGAAATACTAAGAAATTCTTCTAGCTCCCAAGGTAACAAGTCTACCTCGAAAGGAAAGGCATAAGTTCGATCAACGCATAAGTTTTGTTAATTCAGCTTTAATGGTGAGTCGGTTCATCAAATTGGATGATTAGTGAATACACCTCAGGCTATAGCCAGGAAATAAATGGTCAAGAGAGGGAGTGGCAGCGGACTCAAATATTCATCGTAGGAATGTGCGTTGCTAATATGTTCTAAGTCTACTTCTCGACTAGCATTTCTTAGGTATCTCGGTATCCATTAAGTAGGTCGCTGTCGTGGCATGCTTTTGTTCCATCTCACTGTTGCTGACTTACGTGGAGATTACAGCTTCGTTGAATAGGCAGTCTGTACGCTCTGTATTGAAACAACTGGGCTAGATATTACCTTGCAGGTTTTGGGCGTATGGTACTGTGTGTAACGTAATGAGTTCTGGGCAATCCATTCGACGAAACAGACGTCAAGTTTTCTTGTTTTAATTGCACCGTTGGAGAGCCTAAAGTGTGGCGACTCCCACGCAAGATTAGACGAGTAGGAGACTGATTACAACCAGGCCGTATTCGACAGATCTGGTATTGCGAAATTCTGGCTCCCAACAATAACGAGGATGTGTCTTCGACCAGGAAACTTTTCAAAAGCAAGTGTGAAATGTGCTGACCCAATCTATATTAATCATTTTAAAGGGAATTACACTACCGAAATACTTCATTGCTTACTTTATTCAGCCTGTCTACGTTAGTATACAAATACTATGGTTATAAACGCAAAACATCTCCGTGGGGTCCAGATTCCACGCCTACCAATTTTGTGTTCCCGAAAGCGTTCTAAATAAGAGCACTGTCGCGAATGCGGAAAAACAAATGGTTTTGTAAACCAGCGATTAAATGAAATGGATTTCTTCAAAAAACCGAAATTGAGTGGGTAATATCAAAAGAGACAGCAAACAATGGAGGACTGAAACCGATCTCTGATAAGCGAGGTAGTATATGGTACACAACCCATGAGGTGGTTGGCAACCATTGAAAGTCACGGACCCTATAAGTAATAACATAATGAAATAAAATGATTCGTATCTCGGATGTCGTTTTAACGCATATACGGGGTGATTGTTGTACAGTGCATTCCTTGACGGTTTGTATGAAATAAAGATTTAATTGAAGTTTGTGTTTTTCACTAGTAACGTTATCGTAATTTGCATGTGAGTGTTTTGTGCGTGAATACTAAACTTATGAGAACGTTTACAGCAAAGACTATTGTTTCCGTTGGCAACTGGACTGGAGCTTTGGATGCTGTATTCCGTGAGAACGCTGCAACAGACCCAACGCTGAAATGGCAGTACTTTGGCAGCTCAACCGGATTCTTTCAGTTTTATCCAGGTAAAACACATACTGATGCCTTTGTTTTTGATCACTCGAATCATTTAATCAAGCGAAATCATCTTATCGTGAATGGTACAATCGTGCACTACTCTGGTGAACTTAGCGATAAGAAACCATAGAGCTCAACGGATGAGGGGCCTTCAAATCCATGAGCATCTATGAACCACATGCTCTAACTGAACAAAAGGTTTTAAGAAGATTGATGAATAAACTCTCTTGCTGGCTGCATCAGTGATGACGAACATCGTATACCAGGTTTCCAGTTAATCCAACTCACTTACGTACGAGTGAATTTAGCCATCGATCACCGTTTGGTACAGAAATTAAGCAGCGTTTTGATGAAGAATCGTAAATGATGTCCACCGGATGAACCCCGAGAAAATTGTGACCAATAGTGGACTTGCCTGTTAGTGGCTTGCCTGTTACCTAGTCGCATGTGCAGAAATCTACTGCGGAGCAGTATATTTATTTGTTTTTCACTCGCAAGGCTTCGTTTTTTGTTGGGCCATTAAATGGTGCTAAAATCCGTAATCGAAGAACCAAGCAGACGAGTTTTCAATACTATACAAGGTATCTCAACAGGGCGAGGATCATTGTAGAGGGAATGATTAGTGCAGTGGACAGTTGAAAGCAGGTTTCCTTACGGATGAACCGAGAGTTTGTTTCATTTTAGCCTTGGAGCCTGATACTGCCCACGTGCATGGCCTACCACGTATCACTTCTTGGCCTAATGCCTTGTTTTATCAATGGATCCGCTGCTCGTGCTCCTATACTTCCTGCGACGGATTCATAAGGAAAGACGGCCAAGAATGGATGGTAGTACATGGCGGATGGATACCTTACGCTGTTTATTCTACCTTTATTCACGCAAGTTATCAATATGCATTTCAGTTGGGGATATGAAAACTAAACCGCCAAACCAAAATGATCATACAATAGTCATGGTCATTGAGGAAGAAGAATGGAAAGAAATCAGGGGGACTTTGATCGCAGTAAGAATCGGGGAATGGACTTTCCATACTGTTTGTGTTCCGTTCCAAGAGTTATGCGCCGTTTCCTCTTTACGCAATGGAAGCTACAGCTTACGTCATATTAAATGGGGTAATAAGACTATAAAAAATTCCACCTTTTTACCTTCAGGCTCCATGTGGGACATCCAGTTGGATGAACTTCGACTGGACTTTTTCGACTGTCGATCTCAACCATGGTAAGTGCTTTTCTTTCTTCGCTACCAATCCTCCTCAACAATACAATACGAATCGGATTGAGTTTTCATTTGCCAATAAATAAATAAAGCTTATTCTGTAAAGGTGATATACTACTCATGAAGCTTGAGACCATCATAAGCAAGATATTAAGCTGGGTTCCAGGTATGTTTCTTATAAACAAAATCAATGTTCTGTTTTCCTTTCGTTGGAACGCGTGGCCCATGTACCTTGGAACGTGAAGCCGCTCTGTTCCATAAGATCTACCGGTCGGTTTATTTCAGATGAATTTCAGTCCCATCTAAGCAGAATTAAGGTATTGCTTGTTTTTATTCATCGTATGGTTAGAGCTCAAGTCGACTATGGGGGCCTGTTGTTGGCAACAGCTCTAAACAACACAACAGTGAGTAGGGAACGCAGAATCACCGGGGCTTTGGTGCACCTATACTTGTGACAAATGCAGGAGACTCTATAGAGTTATGTTTGAGTCTGGCATTGAATGGCTAACTGAACAGAGCACAAATTGTGCTATCAGCTGAAAGATACTTTATTGATTCTTATAATTCCGGTTTAGGATTAATTTGAACACACGGTTGTATTTATATGGAGAGTGCGAATATGTGAGTGATGCTCAGATCCATCAACCACATGACCCTTCTTACTGAAGAGCTCGGTACTTTCCCGGAATTTTCTAGGAGCAGCAATTACCAACAGCATGTAACTACCGACTACTTCGTCAGTTAAATTATACTTATGTGAGAGTAAAGAGATCATGTTACGGATAAATGTCCGTTTGTTTTATGCTGGCACTGAGTTTTCCTCCCAATCGCTTTACCATTACTTAGCCTAGGTCCTCTCGGATTAGATAATATGTCATCTCGGTTTCAGTAACCCTATTCTGTATTAACGCTAAATGACTTCGCTTGTGCTCTATGCTAATTTGGCACTTTTTCTGTAAGTCCAGCTCAAAAATGAAAACACTGATTACATTAATAGATGGAAATGATAGCGATCACATTCACGTGAGCAAACAGGGCATGACACTGCCATTAAGTGCGATATCAAAAAGGACATTCATCCCCGACGATCTGCGGTAGTGAGCATTCAGCGAATTCGCGGACTCTTTGAATGTAATCTTATTTCGGCTTTTTAATTTAAAACGTCGAAATGAAATAGTTAAGTTACTCAAGAGTCTCCATTTCCTGAATCGAAGAAAATTCGAAGGTAGTTATGCAACTGATTTGCCAACTAATTTGAAGGCAAACAAATTTGAACCTATTTCCATATGGAGGTCTTGATTACTCAAAATAAATGCTGACAATTTAACTGGTACAATCACAACAAGGGTTCGCATTTCAGAATTTATTGCAGACCACAAAGTTTCCTCGACAGATAGAAAGTGTGGATCAAAGTTCTCCTCAGAATGTGGTCAGTGTACAATTTAAATATACTGCTTAATTGACAGGAGAAATTCAGATGAAGTTAAAAACATGCAGTCTCATCTTCACCCTTTTATTTTAATTGTGGTAAATGGAGAAAAAAAGCCATAAAGAGTTGACAGGTGTTTCGTCTACGCACTCCATGGATCGAAATAGGGTCAAACTGTATACGACAAGAAAAATACTTACCAATGAACTGCCGCCTTTTAGCGCCATCAATTTTGCACATTTTGTGGTTTTTCTGGGCTTTATTCACAGCTACTTGTCTCTTTAAACCTGAACAGGTACCTTTCGGCCTCTTCATATGCAAAGGAAATGCTCATTTTGGTTGATAAAAGTGGCAGTATGAAGGGGAGAAGTGATATTATATCGAATGCCACGGTTACTGAAATTTTGAATACGTTAACGGAAAATGACTTCTTCAATATCATAATGGTGAGTTGTTGCAAGCGGTACAACTAGATTCACTGTGTTAAATTAGACCTTCTAACTAAGCAAAAATGTCTGAGTCTAGTCAGCATTTTGTATTGCTCGTGCGTAGAATGCGTTCAGGATGAACTTGCGCTAGTTTAGGAAAAGCATGACAGAGTTAAGATGATGGTTAACTTTAAGGATTCTAAGCGTCTTTTAAAGCCGTTATGAGAATCGATGTCCAGCCAACCAAGGTACATAGGGCTCAGGTACTTGACTTTTTTAGGTGGCTCTCTATTTTAACACACGATTACCAGTTTGCATAGTCAGACGGCCGTAGTAAGATGCGAAAATATTGATGTACTACTTTACAGCGTATTTGGCTTTTCATTTACCTGTTCGTTCGGGCTGATTAAACAAGGCTTCATAGATGGCAAAAGATCAAGGAAGTTGTTTGGCACAATCTCGAGGAAACTTTGAGCAAGTTTAGCCAAGCACATATTTGATCAGTGCACTCTTTGATGTCGCACCCATAAAACACCCCACGTACTGTTTTATGGATATTTGCTTTGAGTCGGCTTTTCTGCGCAGCAATTGACGTTTATATTGCTCCTTGTAAAAAGATGACAGTTCCATTTCATAGAGTGAAAATTTGCTCAAACCTAAACGTTATAGTTATTTTTTTCACAGTCTTCAGAATGGGAGTAGCCTTTAGGCATTCCATTTTGGATAAGAACAGCTCGATTTAATAAAACCCTGCAACTATTTCTTACTTGGCTATCCTCCCTTTGTGTCAAGCTCCTTACCATGATTCTGTCAATATTTTGTCCTATTTTTAGTTCACGGATACGCCTAGATACGCAGATCCTGCCATTCAAGATCGGCTTATCCAAGCGTTCAAATACAATAAAGACGTGAGTATCGATTGATCCCAAATGGTCGTTCCGCTTACTATCTACGAACTTAGCATGAATGCACCCAATTCCCAGTAATAAAATGTATTACTTTATGCACTGTTTCTCGAAGTATGGACAATAAACAACCTAGGTTCTCCGGGACAAATGTGAGCCAGATACTTCTCAACACTTTGAGCACTAAATGGTGTGTAATATAAAAATTTCTTAAATCATCACACAGTTGAGTGTGATAAGGTGTTATAATTCGACATTTTAGTTGCCGTAGGCATCCTTTTTCAATCCTTTCCACAATTCTTAAAATCCTCATTGTTTGCACAGAGCAGCCTCAAAGCTTTAGATTATTGTATCCTATTCCACCAGGCTGTCTTTTGCTACCAAGGTCTTCATAATGCAACATATAATTCCACTATTAAAAGCTGTCCATAAAATTAATGCTGAGACCCGATCGATACAGCTAAATAAACTCATTCGACTAGTACGCGGCAGGCCAGAGATCTACTGCTGAGCTTTACCGGAAATGGGTTGTCATATTTCATTGATGAATGACAGTTTTCCACTACGATTCTTGGTTTGTTCGCTGAGCTGGGCAATTCGATTGCAAACATTTCATCATCAATCGAGGTGACATCATCAGTGTGTTGTTAGGCAACGTAGCGGAGAGTAGCGATGGATCGTGATTATGCGTTTAGTGGTGTTGTGTGTGTTAATAGATGTGTGGCTGGCCGGAGTTGACCTTCGGTCACCATCAGTTGTTTGGCCGATTGGTTCCAGTGGTTGCTCTGTTATCCTGTGCCTGAGTGATCGGTGACCTAATGAAATTTGAGTTTGGCCTCACCTGCCCTTGTACGTTGATCGATGCTGAAGTGACCTCTGTAAGTGACCGCCTTGGTCCCGGCTTGTGACCTTGGTTGACCCGACACCAACGAATTTCCTATATTGTTCAGTTTCACATCACTCTAGTTTTGAACAGTCGTCCTTCTGTCCTGACTCAAGTATTCATCTGAATCCAAACCAAAGGGGAGGGAGCACTGGATTCGAGTTTCGCTCTTGTTAGAGCGAATCAACAGGGTTTGAACTCCGGACACGTGACATTTGAGGCGAACGTGTTACCACACGTCTGAACGGGCGAACGTGTTCACACTTGAGCGATGTGATTGGTATGCCCGACACATCATCGATACGACGACCAAGTAACTGTCCTGGTTGTGACGATCGATTGGCGCGCCAGTCAGGATTTCGCAGTCAGGTAGCGCCAAAGACGCTTGAAAACCGCCTGGACAACTTTTGTTGATGCATGTGGGGGTTTTGCGGGAGGTGTATTGTTCAGTTTCACGTCAATTTCGTTTTGAACAGTCGTCCTCCTGTCCTGGGGCAATTATTCCTCCTTTGGTTTGGATTCACATGAATAATAGGTACGCTAATGAATGTATTTTGCTACTTAAAGTCACATGGTTTTATTCCAGCTTATTCGACTGGAGCACTTTTACCGTTCAAAGGGGAAGCATCCCACACACACAATGAACACCCGCTGTTCTGACTGTGATAAGAGCGGACGGGAACCACATATTGAAAGAAATACATACCAACTTGCACACCAATTTGGTTTTGTCGAAAGACTCGGCTGAAAACTGACTGAAACTGTCGTTTTTGATGTTTTGAAGCAACTGAATGTGCTGCACCAGGTAACTTCGTGATTCAGTTGGCACGATATTCCAAATATCGCGGTACATTTTATAAACGAGCTACACACTTCGACAATCCATGACCGGTCTCACCTTTCTTAAGGCTTATTAGGTAGGCACAGTCGTTGAGTATCCGTTAACTTTATGCTCCACTTGAATCGCACAAAATTAGCAAAGTACACTTATTTTCTAAAAAAAATGAGTTTCAAATGAGCACGCCCTTTCATAGACAACAGTCTTTAACAGTTTGGAGTTCTTTTCTACCAACATATATTTACCGACCAGTAGTACCTAAAATGTTCTGTATCACGACATATTTCGCGCTTTTAAAGATTTCTGGTTAATTTTCAGGGCGGTAATTCTTTACTACTTTAGCTAATCTGGTTCTGTTTTCCAATTTGTTCACTTTGACGGAAGTTGGACAAGTTTAGAAGATAAAAGCACAATAATTTATGAGCAGGCTGTCACCTGCTTTTTTATTATGCAGCAGTTCATATTTTCATTTCATCTTATTTGAATAGGACTTTCTGATTATTTGACGAGTGGACTTTATTAGAAAGGTTGTGTTTGAGTCCTCATAGCCTGTGGGAGTTAATCTGTATTTGTAAAACTTTGAATGCAACAAGATTCAGGTATCCATTACAAGTGTTGATCAAATGTCGCGTTTGTTTTACTTTGGACACATCTATTTCCCTGTGACTGAAACCTCTTTCGAGATGACCGAGTCAGTCCATTGATTTTACCGGTCATTTTGTTTTCCATTTGTACAGCGCATGGTTAGGAGGTTTCAAAATTTCAACCCAAACGGTACCGCGCATTATGAAAGGGCGCTGACGGAAGCCTTCAGCCTAATGAACAAGGTTTGTGCAAGACTACTGTACAAATTTGTCTTCACTTGTCGAAGTTGAGTGGCATAGTGCATTTTCTTTGAGGATACGTGGTTGAATAGATTGAAAATACGCACTCGTTTGTGCCGGAACTGGGAATGAACGCTCTCCTTAAAGACGGGTTTTACCAAATCAAAAAAGTAAAGAGTGGCAAACTGACATGAAATGATACTCATCGTAAGAGACATTCTTTTAAATTCCAAAGAGCTGATTTATCTAAAGGGAATGGACTTGACTGTGTGTGTGTGTTGAAAACTATTTCAAACAACGAGGACATCTTAAACTTCATCTCAGGGATATCTGCATTTGTTTACTTCAGTCCTATCACTGACTCGACATCGGCATCACCAGTGACAACACTAAACCGGGAGAAGGACGACACCGGGTAAATGAGTATGATTTCTTGGGTGGAGACATTTAAGTAGAGGCTTGTCATTTGCACCTGTGGTTAGATGCCCAACGAAAAAAATGTAATATAACTAAGCGCAAAATTTTGGGAGTCCTGTTATAGTTGACAAGGTCAGAATAGGGACCTTAGAAGCAAACATTGGCGTTCAACTGCCGCATAGCCATTACAACGATAACCCCAGCACCGAGTGACTGATCAACTTTGCTACCTCAAGCATAGTATAAAGCAAGAATATTTACAATGAGGCCAAAATGAGGTGCTGTAAACATAACTCGCGTCATTAAATGCTTCTGGATGTTTCAGTAAAGCACATTAGCCCATCAAGATCTCCAACAGTAACGTAAATATTGATACTTAAGCATCGCACACAGATTCATATCGAGTTAACTGACATCGACAAGCAAATTTTTAAAATAAAGACACCAAAAATATGCAGTGTACAATAATAGGCGACGCAGGTTTGAACGGTTGACTTGACGGAAACAGCGTGCTCGAACATCTGAGGCAATATTGGCCATACTTACACAAAGGATGTATGAGTGGTGTGAAGGCAGCAAACAGGAAGTCCGTACTGATGAAGGCGCCCACGATACATATCCCCCAAAAAAGACAAGCAAGAAATGGTTAACCGTAAAAACCGTACGCTCAACTCGTTCATCCGTTAACGTAATGGACGGAAAGTTCTCTATTGCGGTTGCTTTAAAAAACAACTAGAAATTATCTGAGCATCGACACTTTATAGCAACGTATAGAATCAGGTATGTATGTCTTGCTGGTTGAGCAGCAGTGCACCAGAATCCCCTACAAACAAGTGGGTCAGATTTTTGACACAGCGGTTTCTGGAAAGGTCTCTCACAGATACTTCTGTCAGTTGCTACCTCGCGGTTGGGTCACAGGCTAGAGTAAGAGTCTCGAACAAACGCTTGTGCTCTCAGTGCCTTGTGGGTCAAATAATCGGGGCAGAGATGCGGTAACTTCAACACACCTTCCTCAAACTGCGCAAAGCGAAAGTAATATTCGCCCAAACAGCTATCAATCTACCCACCCTTCCCATAACTTCCATAGCAGATCCTCTCCGATTCACTTGGCCGTCAGTTATCTACTCATAGCTGAGTATATGAACTTATGCCAAGCAAACTGTAGTGAAATATACCTGTGGTAAATTCATGGGATCTGTTCAACACTACAGCTTCTGATTATGGCACTGCGTCACACTGTTTACCCAAACCTGGTCCATTCTTTTGATCAATGTATGTTGTCCAACGAAGCGCACCTATGAGGGAAAAATTCACATCTCTCACGGTTTGCATTTTGGGTGTCTGATGGTTCTGATGAAATAGCTCGTTGTGTCTACAGTGTGGGTAGTCACCATCACCATCATAAACAGTATGACATCAGTGTTCAACACCGATGCTTCACTGCCGCACGGTACGGCAGTGTGGGTAGTGGGTTTAACCATAAGGCTGAATGTGTTTCACTGGACTATATCCCGGTAAACAGCCCTCTAACATGTTCGGCTGACTAACTTAAACAAAGATTAATCCATATTGACGAGGAGAGCGTAACGTATCAGCATACATCCCCATAGACCACAGTCGATAAAAGAACAGCTTCTGTCGGGACTAAACACGGCTGCATCGTCAACCGGAGTTAGAAATGTCATGGTGTTGATAGCTGACCGAAAATTCATGTTGAAAGTATTGAGTTTTGAAGACGCTGATGTGGAATGGAGGAATGCGCGTAGACGATAGGGAAAAGACTTCAGCTTCTCACGGAAAATCACTCAACCCCAGCCAGCGCACACTGTCAGCACAAGCACTCACAACGTGTGATTTTGAGGACACCCACTACCAACCTACCGTGAATCCACTTGGAGCATAGAGCAGTCACCTAGCAGTGGGCATCTTCCATACAATGCTGTCTTTCATTCTAGGGTAAAGCCCTTGACTTTGACCATAGTCTTGAGAGATATAAAAACGGTTGATTGCTAAGTCCCCGGAAAGCTTTTATACTGGAAGTACACTCTCTCGGCTCCGTACTTCTATTCACATTTCATTTACAGAAAGGTCGTCCTGAAAAATGGGTTATGTATTTGAAGTCCAAATAACTCATGCGCTTCCAGGAAAATATGAACTCAAATGGAACGTCTGCATATCATCCCACGAGCAGTTTGATTACTTCAGACCAACAAGGAACCTGTTCCAGGTGGGAGGAGAGAAGATGCTCATCGCGACTTACCTGATATTTATGTTCCAAAGTATATTTAAAGAAGAAAGAATACTAAAAGGATGGAACTCTCTGGCAGTGATTTTTACATTCGAAATCAGTGCAATATCACCATGCACAAAATCCTGGAGCATGATTCTAGTGGCTTTT